CTCCCATGAAGTATATTGGTTTTGAGTGCCTCAGGAGCTGTAGAATGTCGGGTTCAGGTATGTATGGTCTTCGTAGAGGTAAGTAGAGTGTTGCCAGTATGATTTGTCCTTGTGGTGTGTTTATTTCGACTGCCAAAAGATCAGAATGAAAGTTGTTGATGATTTTGTGTTGGATATTGTTTTTGATCGCTATAGCTATGCCATCATTAGGGTTCTGTGACTTGTTGGAAGAGTAGACTGTAGTGAAGATTTTGAGAGGTTGTGTGTCTTTTGAGTCCATGGCTGTTTATGAGTATGATGTGTGGGTCGTGCTTTCTGTATGTGTTAAAGAGTTCATTTTTACGTGTTATGCAGTGTAGTACGTTGTGTTGTATGATTGTGAGTCGTGAGTGTAGTGTATGGTGTGCCATATGTGTTGTGTTGTTATGCAATGAGGTACCCATTGTGTAATTGGTCTATGTTGTCACAGGCCTCAATCATATTGTGAGTGACACGGAGGTTGCCCTCCTTGAGGTGATGGTGTATTTTCTTGATCATGACCATATAGGTATTCTCTTATTTCGTTAGTAGCCACTTTATTCTTTCATTTTGAATTTCAAGGCCGATTTCGTCTGTCCGAGTATTCGTACTTAGCCGGGTCTTTAGCAGAGTCTGACTCCGAGGTGTATTAAGCTAATGGCAGTCCCGTCCTTGAGTCTTTCGACTCCCTCGTCGTCGAAAAACGTCTTTTCGCCGTCAACCATGTCTGGGGTGGGTGGTGCGGCACCAGGAGTGTCGGGAGTTTTGCTGGGGGAGTCTCTTGACTCTGACTGCCTGACGATTGGGAGGTTTTTTAGCCTCACAGACTGGGGAGCTTTAAAGGTGATCTCAGGGTCATGGCTCTGGGTGGCTGGGGCCTTGAGTGGCTGTGACATTTGTGGTGGTGCCTGGGTTGGCTGGAGTGATGGTGTTGGTGCCTGTGGTGGCGTGAGAGTTTGGACGGGTGCCTCAGCTGGCTTAGGAGGTGCTACGGGAGCTTTTTCTGCCTGGGCAGGGGTCTGTACCACTTTAAGAATACCCCAGGAGTCAGACTCACCGAGGTCGAGGTCAGGGAGGTTGTTACGGGCGAGAGCCGCCTTGGCATGGTGTCTGAAGCCCAGTTCAGGGGAGATAAGATTCTCCAGGTGTGCATGGAACAGGATGATTAACATCTCTTTGGAGAGATCGTTCGGGAGGGCCAAGTGAATGGCAGGTCCGGCCTTCGTTGTTGTTTCTTTGATGTCCTTGCAGACTTGGTTTATCAAGGGCTTCCACGCATTTGTGGTGGCCTGGACTGTCTCCTGGGCGGCTTTCTGGGCTGCCACCCTGATGGTTTTAATCTCCTTCTCTTTCTAACTGAACTTTTCGTGAGAGGTTTTTATTGCCTCTTTACGAGTCGGGCAGCTGTTTGCAAGGGTCCTGTGTGCACCGCCGCAGTTAATGCATTTTTTGACTTGGCTCTTGCACTCTGTAGAGTGAGTGCCGGAGCCGCACTCTGAGCACAGGGTCTTCTTGGCTTCCTTGCATTGGGGCTTCAGGTGGCCATAGCCGAAGCAATTCATGCATTGCCTGAGAGGTGTGAACCTCTCAAATTCGATCTGCCATGAGGCGACATATAGCTTGAAAAAGTAAATACCCTTTTCCTTGATTCTTTTGGCTGTGGCGTGGTCCGAAAACCTGGCCTTGACCATATAGCTGTTCTGAAGGACGAACATGTGCTCTACTTTGGCTCCTGGAGAGGAAGCCATGATCTCGTCAGCGATGTCCTGTTCGGTCTTGTTGACGACTTGGCGGTCTTTTTTGAAAACTAGAGTGAGCTTAGCTTTAATTTCGACCGGAAGGATAGGGGTGAAGCCGTGTTTCTCCAGAGATTGGGACCTCGGTAGAGAAGAGCCTCTCGGCATGGTCATTATCTTCAATGAGGGCTAAGTAGCCCTCATGAATCACGAAGTACTGGAGTACTCGGATCTCGGCTGAGTACAAGACATTCGCGAGAATCTCGCGTTTCCTCGGGGTAGGCCCACCGAGGGTTTTAATCTTAATCTTGGCCATGATTAAGATTGCAAAGGCATGGGTGTGGGTGAGATGAGGTGGAGTGAGGGGGAGGGTGGAATGGCAGGGGTGATAGTGAGGTGATGTGGAGAGAGAGAAGATCGAAAAACAGGGTCCTAAACTCGACCCCCCCTAGAGACAGACTGGTTGAGTTCTCCAGTGTCTTAGGGGCTCGGAGCTCTGTGTTGGGCTGGCTCCTTATTACCAATCCTTGCTACAAAGGGGCAACAGGTGGGCAGCTTGTCACCCAGACGAATGCAAAAGCCCTCGAGGGACTTATGCAGGTCCAGGTAACCAATGTAAAGAAAGGATATTAGTATGAGGAAAATGGCACCTAAAGGTCACCTCAGACTGCTGGGCCTTACTATACAGGTTGCCCTGTGGTAGTGAGAGCTGCGGGTCTGAGGAGAGATGCAATGGTCCTGTATCACCTTTTATGGCTGCAAGAAAGACCTTGAGGAGGCAATGGCAAAGGCAAGATCTCTGTAGAACAGAGGTATTGACATTTATAATTACTTTAAAGAGAAGGTTAATGGCAATGAGTGGCACCGCGGCACGTTTGAGGCCCCGGCAGACCAGGGTTACTCAAAGACACTTTGGAGGATCACTTTTTGGCATTAATGTAACTCATTAAGCATAGAATAGGTGATGGTAGGACATGTGTGTGTGTGTATATGTATATATATATATTTTTTCTTTCTTTTCTTTTTATTTGCTATCCAAGGTTTTCAGATAGCCTGGGTTTCGCTTAAGCCACCCAGTAGTGGTGCACTGTGTGGAGTTAGATCAGTCACAGGAAAGAGTCATGGGTCATGGAAGTAGTGAATATGATAAAGAAAGAGGTTTTAAGAAAAGTTCTTATCTTGGAGGGGGGTAATCTGAGACTAATTTAAAGTTGTTTTCATTCTCTAAGAATAGGGGTATGCATTTGGCTACTAAACTAGCTAAAGAAGAGAGATCAAGCCCGTGTGTGTTGGGGAGGTCGCTTGGTCTGACAGGTTGTAAACATTGACATTGTAGAACATAGTGAATGAGGGGTTCTAATGTAATCTCTTGACAATGTTGACAAGCTCGTGGGACTCTCTCGTCTATCTCCCAGTTGCACCTATATCCCAAGCGCAATCTTTGAATGTAAACAACATCTTTTCTTGGTAAGGACTTTGGGATTCTAATCTGCTCATAATCAGATGCATTCTTGTACCAGCGTGCAGAAGGTAACCCTGCATAAACCCAAACCTGGTGTTCTATTCTTGAGATCTGGTAGGTGGAGCGCTTTGCTAAGAGCTTGATTTGGCTAATGCTGGGCTTGACATTAGTGTAAGTGCATTGTCTTGTACTTTCCTTTGCTGCTATGTCAGCCAGTTCATTCTGTGGTATGCCAACATGGCTGGGAATCCAGATGAATGCTTTGGGTGGTTAATTGGTGTAACTTGAAAAGAATTGTTGTGATGAGGTGCTTATTATCATCATGACAGGAGCGTTGCAATGTATGTAGTGCAGAGAGGGAATCAGAGAAGATGGATATGTTGGACTGACTGAGTTGGATAGCATATGTGAGAGCTGCCTTTATTGCAAACAGTTCTGCCTGTAAGGTTGATGTTCCATTACTGATTCTCTTGCCATAGACATAGTCGTCGCATATAAAAGCTGATCCTGCTTCTCCAGACTGTTGGTTCACAGAGCCATCTGTAAAGAGTGCAGCTGTTGACTGGCAAGGGAGAGACAGTCATTTCTGGCTCTGGTGAAATCAGACTGTGAGCAAAAAGTCTTGGCACATGGAAGAGTATCTAGGACAAAGGAAATAGGAAGTGGGTTCCATGGTGGACGTGGATTGAACTGTCTGTGGGGAGCATCAATTCCTCTGGCTTTGATTATGGGCAACAGGTTTAGTGTCTCTATGGATTGGCATATATCACTGTGCCACTTGAGTCTTGGACTGGGTTTAGTCTGAGAATGAATGTGGTGTCTGAGGGTAGTGATGAGAGGGGTCATATGTGCGGAGATTGTCTTGGCTACACGGCCTGCTGCAAGCTGTTGAATCCTCGTCTTGAGGGATACTAAATTCGACTCTAAGCGGAGGTTGACAAGGCAAGTCCAACGTGGGGCCCCAAGTATAATCCTCAGACATTTATTTTGGATTGTCTCAAGAGTTCTGAATTCGGTTGGAGTAAGCAGTAG